ACACGGAATCCAGGACAGATAAACCCCTCAAGAACAGAAATGGGAGTAGTGATACCAAGAGGATAGGCAGAAGGTGGGGGAGGATAGGAGGAAGGGGGGCCAAATTGCCATGTGTATCCCAGGGGGGTGAATAACAGAAACAGAGAAGAGAGAGTCAGTGTAAGATATGAAAATACTAATGAAATAATAATATGAAATAATAATATAATAATAATATGAAATAATAAAAATAATATGAAAATAATCTATAATTTATTGAGGGGTCACAAGGGTAGGAGGGGGACGGGAGGGTTAAAAGAGGAGCTGATACCAAGGGCTGAAATAAAAAGTAAATGTTTAGAAAATGATGATGGCAACTTGTGTACAAATATGTTTGATAGGATTGATGTATGGATTGTTATACGAGCTGTAAGAGCCCCCAATAAAATGATCTTTAAAACAAAACAAAAAATGCAGAATGATTTCAACACCCGTGGAACTTGCTATGTTTTTCAGTCCCGTCTTCTCTCCTTCCCCAGTTCCTGACAGTCACTGATCTCCATCTCCGTCTGGATAATTTGGTCATCTTGAGAATGTGATGACACTCGAGTCAGACGGCCTTTCACCCTTAGTATTCGATTTTTGCACTTGGCATAACTCCTGTCAGGTTGTTGCCGGTGGCCAGTGTCCGCAGCCATCCCCCGTCTTGCTGATGCGTCTCCAGTGATGGAGGCAGTTCTAGTTTGCTTCCCCATGCACTTAGTGAAGCCCACGGTCTGCTTCTAGGTTTGGGTTATTCATTTCTAGTTAAGCTGTTGTAAGCCCTTGCTTGTAGGTTTTCACGTGAACATACATTTCATTTCTCTAGGACAAATGCTTGATCGCCGGGCTGCATGTTAAAAAAGATGTTTAACTTTTTAAGAACCTAGTGGCACGTCACAAGAAAGGGCCTCCGATCCGTGCCTGAGACCCCAGCGCAAGTTTACTCCAACACAAGTTGGCTTGTGGACAGATTAGATACAATATCTCACCTGAGGCTTTTCTCTGTTTTGTGTAATCATTGTTGTTGCTGTCCACTTCCTGTTGGTGTTTTGCATGGTTTTCTGCACAGGAAATGCAGGATCATTCAATCCATAGAGACAGTAGCTGGATGGAAATTCCCCGGGGGGCCTGGCAGGGGAGGTTAGAGGAAATGGGGAGCTACCAGCAATGCATAGGAGCAGAAGGTGTTCTGAAGGTCACTGCGTAGTTCAATGGCATCCTGTGCGAAGTCCGTGCCAATGAAAGGTTTAGAACGAAGCAAACACGAGAAACAGCATCTGACCATGGGTGGTGGAGGAAGCTGGGCACAGAAGGGCCAGAGGTCACAGAGCCAAAAAGAGGTCTAAGGAGCCCCATCCTGGATCACACACAGAATCCCTCAGCTGGTGGATTAACCCCACCCCTTCCATGGCCCCTGCAGATGCCAAAGGAACCATTCGGGAAATCGTCCTGCCCAAGGGCCTGGACTTGGACCGGCCCAAACGGACCCGCACGTCCTTCACGGCCGAGCAGCTGTACCGCCTGGAGATGGAGTTCCAGCGCTGCCAGTACGTGGTGGGCCGTGAGCGCACCGAGCTCGCCCGCCAGCTCAGCCTCTCCGAGACCCAGGTAATTAGGCCCTGGCAGCCCAGCTCCCCTTGCAGGGGTGAGACCATGGGGTACCATGGGGACTCCTAACTTTTAGGAACGTTCCAACAGGTGCATAGACAAAAGACCCAGCCACAGACAGTCTAGAACAAACACAATTCCCAACATGCCC